CTTCAGTAATATAAAATCTCACAGGTGAGAAAATCCGCCGAAAACGCACACTCTGCATGCAATCAAGCTGTTTCCTTATGCTGACTGGTGGTGGAACGGTTTCATTGAGAAACAATCTGTACATCACCTCCTCGTCATATTCTCGCCACCTGATCGTCACATGTTATCATTCTTCGCTTGTAGAATATCACCGTAAGAGGAGGAGTGGGGCTTCCACTCATCCTCAACCATGCCACACCATCTGAAGTGCATAACACTTATTGCAAATCAGTGACCTCCAGACAAGGACAATAATATCTCTCCACTTGGTGTCTGGCAGTCTGTCTGGCTGGCTGACTAGTAAGTATCACCTCCTCCCCCTCCTCACACAACCCAAACCACACAGTCGAGAGCGTGTATGGATTCTTCCTTCAAATTCGACTTCAACTTGTAGGTAGGAGGCGATCAGGATTAAGGCACGCCTAAGCATATAGCACGTGATAGACAAATGCAAAACAAGCTATTTCCGCCGACATCGAAACTCCTAAAGCTTCCTGCAGTTCATAATGAAACCTATCGCAAATCTCTGTCATAAGCCAACTAGCACGTACTTCGGCCACTTTACGCCAACTATCCGAAGTTGTCGTGCACACTTAAGTCGTCTCGTCAAAGCTTCACATCCGTCTTCTGTCTATTCTTACTCTTATCCTTATTCCTCCTCTTCCTACCACTATCACTATCACCATTACTGATATTATCATCACCGTCATCATCATCACGATTATTACTATTATAACTAGTATTCCGCCTCTTCTAAGCCCACTGCACACTATGCATCACCGTCTCTTTCTTCTTCTTCTTCCTCATCCACTTCTTCTGCTTATTCCTTCTACTCTCACACTTACACTCACACTCACACTCACAGTTAGTCTCACTCTTACTCTTACTCTTCGTATTCTCATTATTCCATGTATTCCTCCACCTCTGCCTCACCTTTTCATCACACAAAATAACCAAAGTTTATCCAAGCATATTGCTGGCTGGGGACCATCACAACTTCACTGTTTCACCTCTCCATTACACCCAACACACACACACACACACACACACACACATCGGATAGTACTCAACTAGACTGCCTAAAGAGAAGCTCTCCATTACAAGTGATTATCAACAAGTCGCCATTTCACAGAATCCAACGCAAACACAACTGTCTAGCAATCTCAGTCGTTATTACTCGCCTAGTTCAGCTTCCATTCACACCGATATGAATAAATAGGTATGCAAATAAATATATCAATAAATGAATAAATAAGTGAAGAAGTGTCGTCTACCACTCTGAATGAAGAGTCCACATTCCTTGTGACTAGATAAATCATGCAGACAATTGAAGGCGAAGAAATCAACTGCTAGCATTAACCTGAGGAAATCTCAAGGCGAAGCAGCTTTCTTCAGAATCGCACCAACCTCGTCAACGAGTTCCACAGAAATCTGAAGACTCAATATTCCGCCTAAAACAACCAACAGTAAGCATACACTATAGCCACATTGACAAACTCAGTCTATTCCTTCCCTAATCTTCAGTAATATAAAATCTCACAGGTGAGAAAATCCGCCGAAAACGCACACTCTGCATGCAATCAAGCTGTTTGCTTATGCTGACTGGTGGTGGAACGGTTTCATTGAGAAACAATCTGTGCATCACCTCCTCGTCATATTCTCGCCACCTGATCGTCACATGTTATCATTCTTCGCTTGTAGAATATCACCGTAAGAGGAGGAGTGGGGCTTCCACTCATCCTCAACCATGCCACACCATCTGAAGTGCATAACACTTATTGCAAATCAGTGACCTCCAGACAAGGACAATAATATCTCTCCACTTGGTGTCTGGCAGTCTGTCTGGCTGGCTGACTAGTAAGTATCACCTCCTCCCCCTCCTCACACAACCCAAACCACACAGTCGAGAGCGTGTATGGATTCTTCCTTCAAATTCGACTTCAACTTGTAGGTAGGAGGCGATCAGGATTAAGGCACGCCTAAGCATATAGCACGTGATAGACAAATGCAAAACAAGCTATTTCCGCCGACATCGAAACTCCTAAAGCTTCCTGCAGTTCATAATGAAACCTATCGCAAATCTCTGTCATAAGCCAACTAGCACGTACTTCGGCCACTTTACGCCAACTATCCGAAGTTGTCGTGCACACTTAAGTCGTCTCGTCAAAGCTTCACATCCGTCTTCTGTCTATTCTTACTCTTATCCTTATTCCTCCTCTTCCTACCACTATCACTATCACCATTACTGATATTATCATCACCGTCATCATCATCACGATTATTACTATTATAACTAGTATTCCGCCTCTTCTAAGCCCACTGCTCACTATGCATCACCGTCTTCTTCTTCTTCTTCCTCATCCACTTCTTCTGCTTATTCCTTCTACTCTCACACTTACACTCACACTCACACTCACAGTTAGTCTCACTCTTACTCTTACTCTTCGTATTCTCATTATTCCATGTATTCCTCCACCTCTGCCTCACCTTTTCATCACACAAAATAACCAAAGTTTATCCAAGCATATTGCTGGCTGGGGACCATCACAACTTCACTGTTTCACCTCTCCATTACACCCAACACACACACACACACACACACACATCGGATAGTACTCAACTAGACTGCCTAAAGAGAAGCTCTCCATTACAAGTGATTATCAACAAGTCGCCATTTCACAGAATCCAACGCAAACACAACTGTCTAGCAATCTCAGTCGTTATTACTCGCCTAGTTCAGCTTCCATTCACACCGATATGAATAAATAGGTATGCAAATAAATATATCAATAAATGAATAAATAAGTGAAGAAGTGTCGTCTACCATTCTGAATGAAGAGTCCACATTCCTTGTGACTAGATAAATCATGCAGACAATTGAAGGCGAAGAAATCAACTGCTAGCATTAACCTGAGGAAATCTCAAGGCGAAGCAGCTTTCTTCAGAATCGCACCAACCTCGTCAACGAGTTCCACAGAAATCTGAAGACTCAATATTCCGCCTAAAACAACCAACAGTAAGCATACACTATAGCCACATTGACAAACTCAGTCTATTCCTTCCCTAATCTTCAGTAATATAAAATCTCACAGGTGAGAAAATCCGCCGAAAACGCACACTCTGCATGCAATCAAGCTGTTTCCTTATGCTGACTGGTGGTGGAACGGTTTCATTGAGAAACAATCTGTACATCACCTCCTCGTCATATTCTCGCCACCTGATCGTCACTGTTATCATTCTTCGCTTGTAGAATATCACCGTAAGAGGAGGAGTGGGGCTTCCACTCATCCTCAACCATGCCACACCATCTGAAGTGCATAACACTTATTGCAAATCAGTGACCTCCAGACAAGGACAATAATATCTCTCCACTTGGTGTCTGGCAGTCTGTCTGGCTGGCTGACTAGTAAGTATCACCTCCTCCCCCTCCTCACACAACCCAAACCACACAGTCGAGAGCGTGTATGGATTCTTCCTTCAAATTCGACTTCAACTTGTAGGTAGGAGGCGATCAGGATTAAGGCACGCCTAAGCATATAGCACGTGATAGACAAATGCAAAACAAGCTATTTCCGCCGACATCGAAACTCCTAAAGCTTCCTGCAGTTCATAATGAAACCTATCGCAAATCTCTGTCATAAGCCAACTAGCACGTACTTCGGCCACTTTACGCCAACTATCCGAAGTTGTCGTGCACACTTAAGTCGTCTCGTCAAAGCTTCACATCCGTCTTCTGTCTATTCTTACTCTTATCCTTATTCCTCCTCTTCCTACCACTATCACTATCACCATTACTGATATTATCATCACCGTCATCATCATCACGATTATTACTATTATAACTAGTATTCCGCCTCTTCTAAGCCCACTGCACACTATGCATCACCGTCTTCTTCTTTTCTTCTTCTTCTTCCTCATCCACTTCTTCTGCTTATTCCTTCTACTCTCACACTTACACTCACACTCACACTCACAGTTAGTCTCACTCTTACTCTTACTCTTCGTATTCTCATTATTCCATGTATTCCTCCACCTCTGCCTCACCTTTTCATCACACAAAATAACCAAAGTTTATCCAAGCATATTGCTGGCTGGGGACCATCACAACTTCACTGTTTCACCTCTCCATTACACCCAACACACACACACACACACACACATCGGATAGTACTCAACTAGACTGCCTAAAGAGAAGCTCTCCATTACAAGTGATTATCAACAAGTCGCCATTTCACAGAATCCAACGCAAACACAACTGTCTAGCAATCTCAGTCGTTATTACTCGCCTAGTTCAGCTTCCATTCACACCGATATGAATAAATAGGTATGCAAATAAATATATCAATAAATGAATAAATAAGTGAAGAAGTGTCGTCTACCACTCTGAATGAAGAGTCCACATTCCTTGTGACTAGATAAATCATGCAGACAATTGAAGGCGAAGAAATCAACTGCTAGCATTAACCTGAGGAAATCTCAAGGCGAAGCAGCTTTCTTCAGAATCGCACCAACCTCGTCAACGAGTTCCACAGAAATCTGAAGACTCAATATTCCGCCTAAAACAACCAACAGTAAGCATACACTATAGCCGTATTAACAACAGTGGGCTTGTTGCGTCATGTGGGTTACTGAAATTCTAGGACTTTGTCGTCGTTCGATGGAAGTTCACCATATGTCCTGTCACGCCAGTTTCGGTCCATGCTTCTGGACGTGATGACATTTTCGACCTATGTGCGAATAATTTTCTTTCCGTGTATTCGGAACGCTCTTATCCTGTTACCTGCAAATTTCATATAGTTATTTGCATAATACAAATGTAACGAAGAATTGTCTTCGGTCGAATTTCTGAAAAACTCCATATGCCCTAGGTGAATTTGTTGTCACGTCTGTATAGGAGGTTCCTGTACTGCAGGAAGTTTGGAACTGGCGTCACAACGTAGACAAATAAATCGAGGACAAGATTGTTGGATCGAATTTATTGCTTTTAAGTCTGGTTGAGACGTATATACACAGTAGCAGGCACACATTGGATTACTTAGCTTACAACGAAATGAATGTCAAGCAAATAGGACGAAAAAGACCCTAAGAAACTCATTTATCTACGTCATTTGCACATATACAAAGATTAATAGATACTCAATAAAAGCACATACTCCTCTTAAATATTTATTCAACCAACGTCAATCATTCCTCATCGCTACCGTTTTCTGCATCACCACCTTGAGCTTTGCGTTCCTTTTTCCTTTTGACACGACCTAAGAGGTGTAAGCAAACAATTAATGGAATCTTACCAGGTCGACCACAACCATAAGGAGAATTAGGGCTGTAATCAATGTGCTTTCCAGAATCCAGGCGAACCATAAATCCAGGACAATTGACCATTTGTTTTCGAACCCTTATATGTCTCTGTCGAATCAGAACACGTGCATGATGGATGCTTCTTGCCAGGCCTAATTTGAAAACTTGAGTTTGTAGTCTTCGTTCCAAAAAATCCTCTATCTTTAAACCGAGTACGAAATCCAACTTCATCCTATCTTCAGGTAAGACACCAACTCGAACTAAACGTCTAAGCAGTGCGGACCCTAAAAATGAATCATACAATAGCAAAGGGTACCTCCGAAGAGCCTGCGAGGGTCTTTCTCATCCAGGGTAAGCAATTCACGAGCTGACTTGCGTATTTTTGCCAAAACAAACTTTACTCGCCACACTTCCCGTTTATTGCGCAACCCATATTCACCGACAAGTTTAAGCTCCTGGTCTAAGCGTTCCTTTTCGAATGGTCTTCGTGGAGTTGCATAGGTCTTCCCGAAAACTTTTGGGACCCTACTCATTTCTCACAATGGATCAACGTGATGCAGATGAATTGTGGCGCCTCGATCGAAGGTGTTAGACAGTTAAAACAAGCCCAACCGTTTCAACGAAAACAGTTGAAACAGTGGCTGACTCCTGGATAATTAAATCCAAAGTTGTCGAGAGTGTTTGAGACATTAATTAAAGTATAAAATGACGATAGTGATGATGAAAATCTTTTGCTGAAAATATTTCTTAGTTTAAATGCAAGGATGTACAGAATCGAAATCCAGTAGGTTTCTGGGGAAATTCACATGCTGAAATAATTGTGTTTGGAGTCTCTGAAGCAGATATCTAGTGAATGAACTGTTGCAATTTAGAAGCTGCCCCTATATTAGTATATTCATATTGAATCCAGAATTACCAGGTCTTTGCAAAATGTTTAAGGTGCAGAGAACGATCCAAACGAAAGATTAGGTGTTCATAAGGTTTGTGATACCGTATTAAAATCAGTTCGCCCTTGCATTCAAATAATTTCTGCGGGTGTGCTAAAATCTATTGCCTGATGTTATTATATATGACTTTCCTCATCTCCCTCAACATTTGTGGTCTGGGATGTTCGCACGTGTTAAGACATGGATACCGAGATTACCCTTGGGGCTTGGAATCATAACCCTTAGACCAGCCAGTATATTTCAGAGAGGTTAAGGCTTCTTTTATTTCGCTCATCCTGTTGAATATCAGCAGAGGCATTCACTCCTAATTCCCCTCATAGTTACTCTCATATTGTTACGACTACCTCAGATTTAATATACGACTCTTTGTCCTCGGTCCAGAATAGATACAACTAAGTAGATTCATTTGACCTGAGAACTTTTTCTGCCACCAAGTATTTGGTCTACAACCTACTGTGCTTCGGAGACGGTGAGCAGCCAGGCTTTACCATCATCTAGTCTTCTCAAAGTTACGTCTTTGAGGTGCAACCATTTCTAAGCGCTTTCTGTAATAGACCTTTTTATTTTATTTTATTTTTGATTACAGCTTGATGCCACACCGTATTTTCAGTACGAGTATGTCATTTTCAGCATGGATATCGGTAGCCAAAATTTTGCAAGCCGACCATAGATGTCAGGTGTGCGTCGGTAGGGGATCGAACCCCGGACCATGTGCATGGTCGGCGAGAGTCCTAACCACTGTGCTACCGACCCTCGCGATGGAAGATCTCCCACAACGATAGTCCGGTCAACGGTTATAAACTCATTACCACCCTGTAAAAGATTTAAAAGGTCACCCTGCCCCCAATAACCGCAATCATGTTAATCTTTGCCCTCCTCGGTGACAATCCCAAGAGTCGCGTAGTGTCTGTCCTAAATATGGTATTGACTGAACCGTTATCTGAAACCTCGTACCCACTGGTTCCCTCGTCACGATACTTCAGTCGTACGGGTTGTAAGCCCAGACACATTTTCTCTCAAATACTTCGTATGCGCACAACTATCTCGCACCATTTGTTCGCTTGATGCACTAAGATGCTTAGGTTTACGCATGAATGGTTGGCAGGACTCTTCGCTGCCTTCAGAAACATCCAAACTGCTAACCTTACATTCTGAAGACCAGTGACATCTCCTGAGACGGTAGAATCAAAGTCTCACCTTCTTTGACCACCTTTCACAGAAGGTGCTGAGAATTCCTAACAAACAGTGGTCACAACCTCCACATTCTGCGCGGATCTTCTCGTCTATTCCAACAGGTGTCATCTCTCGTGTAAAACGTATTAACTTACCATTTCTCTGTCTGCTGCTTGTGGCCAGTTTTCCGAATTTAATCACCAGACACAAAATTCATCAACTCGGAAAACGCCAGTTGAGGAAAGTTCTCCTTAATGACTTCCACTGCTTCTGTCCATTTAATTTGCAACGCGTGTGGTACTTATTTCACTACAGACCCCAGAGTACTCATGGAGTTTAGATATACGGGATAATTCACATGCTCGAGAGATATGTCGCAGTTCTCTATTTTGTAGCGAATCTTGATATGCCTTCACCAACACCATAGTCCACCTTCGGGTAATCCATTTTGTGTGGTCGAAAAGTTGTGAATGCGTCTAATCCATGTATGCATGATTTGACACACTGCCGTCCCTCATATATAAACAGATGAAAATATATTACCGATGTGGTTATAAAAGGGTTTCTGTCAAGCACTTTATAGAAGACAGGCTGACAGCCACTAGGAAGATGACTTCTCACTTGCTCAATAGTCGTGGACTTGGCAGTTCTGAGAGCGGTCTTCCCTGCCGGCTTTTTTCTAACCTTTGCGGTAGCCTTATCGCTACTCTTAATTGGGACCAAATCAAGTGTAACCCCCAAACCAGAGGAACGCTTGAGACTGAGATTATAAAAAGAATTCACATGTGATGGTAAGCGATCTGACTAACTGATTCAACGTTATTCGGCTGTGGTATCTATTCTTTACTCATACCGCGTTAATATTAGGCTTAGGGCTCTGTTTAGAATTACGATTAGGGTTAGGAATTGGGTTAAGATATCTAATATTTATTATCTGTGATTTTCTTCGAAATAACTAGATGGAGTGACAGGAGAGCGTTGTTTAAATATTTAAAACCATGTTGACTGACAGAAATTTTACTACTGCAGAACAGCATCAGTTCTAGTCGATACAGTGTACACCGACGTTAGTTAACGTTTTTCAGATGAGGTAGTTAATATTGCGAATGTTTCTGTACACTGTGTAATTTACATCTGCATAAGAACAGTATATTTGGCTGTTTTGACTACATCAGCACTTTCCGTTGGTTTTTAGAAAAGAAGACAGCACACAAGTGTGTGGCAAGTTGAACACTTAGTATGCCTTTAGTTTCTCTCAATAAATGTGGATATAAGCTAATCAAATGACCTACAAATGGGAACAGGATGCTGGTAGGCTTATCCATTTTCTCTGGGTTCAGAATGTTGGCTGGAGTGATTGCACGGAAACTAAGGGATCCTTAGGATTTCCTAGCGTATCTAATGGTTAATATTTTTAGTAAGGGTATTAATCATGCGTGGCAGAAATTAAACGTCACGTACAAGGTCATTTATGGAGTGAGACGCTCAAAGGTCATTTTCGTCCATGTTAGTCGGCCATGTTGGATTGCAGTTCCGTAGCTGTTCGTTAATATATTGGTTTTTCCGTTTATCCAACAGTTATTCACAACTTATCTTGATGCACATTGTTTACAAATGTTGCGTTTCACTTCATTATTGTTACCGTAGGTATTTTTTATACATTGTGTCCACATAACGCATATTACACTACACCAAACAGTGCAAATATACATGAAATCCACTTAGAAATAACCTCTCAACTTACGATAATTCCTGTCCAAATATACATATGGTGAGACAAATCCACATGATTACTTCTATTCCCACAGAAGGTTCTGTTAGCATTTACAGGTGATTTCGAAGTACTGATAGAATTCTTTTGTCAAAAAGGACTGTTCTTCACACGAAAATAGGCTGAATTAATATCCTTAGACGTGAAGTCTCAATTTCATGATACCATGACGAAAGGTGCAGCATCTAAATAAAGTAGGCTATTTGTGTAGATGAAATTACCCTTCAACTATCCTATCTTTCTCACTATAGCGATATTTTGCTACAGTTCACCTGAAACACTGATCGTTGCAACCAATATGCTAGGAGGTGTCGCAGTCAGATTACATGACGCGGACACCAAAATAACAGGCCAGAAAATGGGAATTCTCATCAATCCAGATAACACATAACACAATTTCATTAAAAATTATTGACAAAAAAATTTCCAAGTGAAATTTTAACAGCGGTACTAGAACGTGATATTTAACGTCTACCATCATGCGTATATCTTTTGCACTCTTGTTTACTTTTTGGTAATGGATAATTTCGGTGAATTCCTGGGGTTGGTTGCTAAAGAAAGCAACGTGAGTTTCATTATCATTTTAATGAAGTGAAGTTTGGTAATAATATATATATTTATTCCTGTTTATGAATACATCTTTATACATACTTAAATGACTTTCACTGCTAAATGACCGAAGTTCATACACCCTCGTCTAAACTGCAAGATTCTCAGCAGCTTTTGGTGTTATGACCACAAGTGTTCTAAGATTGTCGTCCCCACAGTTTTTTCGGGCCTGTATTGGCATGAGAGATGACATTTCGAGGCAATTTTCCTTTACCCATAGTCTAGTTCCTGGGGCTTTCAGCCATAAGAAGTTTTCCGGCAATTTTTCTCTGACACAACTATGTACATTTGCTAAGTAGTTTATTAACGTTATCTTGAAGTTATTTTGGCGGAAGTTTCTAAAGTATCCAAAGAAACCTCCCGTCACAAGCACAGTTAACATGGAGGGAAGCAACTTAGGCACAATTAGTCTTCCAAACAAGTATTCACCAGGTTTCCTTTAACTAACGAGTACACTCACGCGCGCAAGAATATCAATGGTGGATCCCGTTTTAATCTTGATACTATGAGAGATTCCATCTCACGCTTATCAACAAAGTAGTCGCCTTAAGAGGCTTGTAGATCGAACTACGCCTCTGATGAAAATGCTTGATGTTTTAGGCAGTCATAATGGATAAGATTTTGTTTTAATAAATCACACAGTGTTGTACAGTTAAATTAACTGATGACGTTTCGAGCACAAACTATTGCTCATAATCATATCAACTTGATATGATTTATTACAACAAAATCTTATCCATTATGGAATTATTTTAGGCAGTCAGTTACATTTATCGAACGGATTTAACTTTCTATGGCTTTTAAACTTAAATTCGAAATGATATCTGTTGATCATCCGTTTCGATGTTTTGTTTAATTTTGTCCCTGGCTCACTCTAAGCTGAAGGTTAGGCGGACCCAAACGCTGACCGACGAACAAGGATTGGATTCCATATCTGTATCTTCTCCAAGATCAATCCAAGTAAATATGACAAAGGGGAATTATATGAATGAGCGACCACAACAGTGCGGTCAATACTCAAATGAACAATTACAATATACGAGACCAGCGTACACCTTCAGATAATACTGTCGTCAGGGTTCAGTCCACCAATACTGTGGTAATAAGTCCATGAGCAGTAATTATTA